TACACCGAAAACATTTTAAAATTGCAGTTTTTTTCGCCACTATTTGTAAATTACTGGTGAGTAATTTATTTAAAAGGAAAATACAACACTTTTTAAAAAAGTGAAAAAAGTGGGGTTAATGTTTGTGGGCATTAAAAATTTATGACCTATGAAATTTTTAAACTAAGCAAAGAAGCAAAAATTTTTTATTTAACAGCAGCCAGACTAAAGGATATAAATGGTTATATATACAAATAACTTATCAAGTAATTTAGGGGTACTTTAACAAAAAAAGTTATATGCTTTGTGAATTTTCTAAAAATTTTTTAAAAGTTGATAAGCTTTTTAAGAAAGTAGTATAATTTAAACATATAGAATTATTTGGCAAATTAATATTGTTTTGAATAAAGATTCTTCATATTTTAATTACATTAACCAAAAATATCAAAATACCAAATGAATAACAATACATCTGTACCTTATTATATTAAATCCTGATTAATCTTAAAATAAAAAGATAAATCATTCTCATCAACTTATAAGAAAAAGCATATTCCAAAGTTTATGCAAAATGTAAACTATTATAATATATATATTTATATATATATATATATTTCCATATATATATATAAAGATATATATATGTCCTCCATTTTTAAATTTTCTCATCTTTGTCCCACAAACCTGCATGCATGGTAAGAAGATGTTGTATTTTGGTTTTATTTTTCAGAATTTTCTCCTAAAATAATATTGTTCCTCTTTAAATAAATTCACTTTATTTTAAATATATATATGGCATATTATATATGTGCATGCATACAAAAAAAGAAAAATCTTTAAATAAAAATAGATAATATAAAAAAAAAAATAAAACAATAACAAAAAATAACAATTACATAATAAAAGAGGGGAAAACATGAATGCAGGATTACATGTGAAAAAGCATCTTTTGATACATATGGCACCGGATTCGGTAAATAAATCTTTATAATTGGGAGTATGCAAATTTAATGCACACCAGAATGTATAAAATGCACTGATATGGATTGGAATTAATATATTTGTCACCTTTCCTGATGAAACTGTAAATAGTAGTAAGTGAGCAAATATTGTTTTACTTGCAAATAATATATATAAGTGAACACTAAGATCAACACCAAGTGATAACAGTCTATTTCATGCTTGAAGGAAATCTTCAGGCCTGAAGATTGTATTGAAGCATCAAACTGACTTCCACCATTTGATGTTGATCTTAGTGTCCACTTTTATGTTCACAAATGCTCACTGATATTGAGCACTTTTACCCCAAAATAAAGCATACCATAAAACTATATTTGTCACATATATATATATATATATATATATATATATATATATATATATATATATATATATATAATCAAAAAAAAAAAAAAATAAAAATGTAAAAATTTGCAAAAAATCTTGTAAAATAACTGTTATATCAAAATCCATAAGGAAAAAAACATTAAGTACCATTAAAAAAATTAAATTTAATCAAAATGTTTTGGTTAAAGACGAACTATTTTAGATCATCTGTTTGACATGATCTAAAATAGTCTTTAACCAAAACATTTGAATTGTTACATATGGTTTCTATAAAAATAGGAATTGTTACATATGGTTTCTATAAAAAAAAATATTTAAATAAATTGAACTAATTCCAAATGTTGGCATTCATCTTTTATCACATGCACAATAAAAGATTAATCCATCTTCAGTTATCAATTCAGTAAAATATAGAATTCAGATAAGAATAAGAAAGAAAACAAAGCAATTAAGTACTTCAACCAACACAATCTGTAAGGAAATAAAATGATAAAAATGTGCACATTTAAATTCTATTTCTGTTATTTTAGAGTAATTTCAGATATTTGTTCATTTATATCATCTTGTAAATGTTGTTATTCTTTACATGAAACTGAATTATTTTTTAATTGTGCTATATTTTTATATTTTGTTTTATTAGAAATATTTGCAGTAACTTATTTGGTAGTTTGAGATTCTATTATGCAACATGAAGTTCATAAATATATGTAATATTATAGTTAATATTTATTTTTAATTTCACATATACAAAAGAATAATATACCTCAGAAACTCAAAAAAGAACCAAAAAATTGGAAATTTGGAAACTGCAAAAACATTGAATAGAGATGAGAGAACAATAAAAGATGATGTTGAAAATATTGTCATAATAAAGTATATTGGTAATGAAGAAAATAATTGAAAGTAATATTGCATAATATTAAGAACATCGGCTATGGATATGAAAGCAACCCAAATATAGCACCTTTAAACAAACGTCACAAAGAGAAACATGTAAAAAAAGTATGTGAAAACTGGTTTCTCAACAATAATTTTTAATGATGAATGGGCTTTTAATGTTTGGACTAGAGATCAGGTCTTTCATAGAAACAGTCACCCAACATAACTTCAAAGACAAAAGGATGGATTATTTGGAGCTAGTATAAGGCAGTAAAATTAGGAGTCCCTCAAAGTTGATGATAGTATCAAGATAAATGCAGATAATTACTCTGAGTTTTTGGACAAGATATTTTTTGAGTTGTACAAGTCACAACTAAGAAGCTGTTTTTACTAAAGAGCAAGAAAATGCTCCTTCAAAGACAAGACAGAATCACAAGACAGACAAGACAAAACTTAGTTGAGCAGGCTCTTGGTATAAGCTAAAATATTTTAATCAGGAAATACTGTTATTTTCTTTTTTACTCTACTTTTAACTTGTAATGTTTATCCAAAATGTTGGCCAAAAATTGCTGATAAATGATCCCTTCTGTTTGAAAAATCAAAATAAAATGCAATATTAGCAAACAATCATTTAATAGCAAAATATTTAAAAAAACAGGCCACCATTGTCAGAGTAGTCTTAACTTTTAATCACTTCTCACCTTACATCTATAACCCTAACTCCCTTTGTTACCTTCTGCTAGGGTTTTCACTTCCCCACCCACAGTCTTAGAAGTTGGTTGCAACTTCTTCACAATTGAATGGGATGAGTTATAAGGGAAATAAAAGTGACTTCTGAATGGACAGCTAACATTTGTTTGTAGAAACAATAAGAAATAATTTTGATGGAGATAATTGTAAAGCTGTTTATAACAGAAAGCAGCACAATGAAATTAACTAACATAGATTAGAATGTAAATCAACTTTTAAAAGATAATCACTTAATATTCATAAAGATCAATATCTCTTCTAGGTATAAATGCTTTAAAAGAATAAATATAGCAAAATGTGTTACATCTTTAGTAAGAAGGTTGTGTATTTATATTTGAAGTATCATCATTCAGCAAAATATACACAAAATAAGTAGAACCAATCATTTTTTAATGAAAGTTAATTTAAATCACACAAAGTATAAAAGATTGCAAAAGTAATTAAAATTCAATTATTTCTAATTGAATGATTTGCTTTTTTGTATAAAATGAGTTAATAATTTCAATGATTACAGCAAATGTATGACTAAAAAAGAACAAACAAAATAAAACAATACTATATTTATAAAAGTAATTTTTAGCTGAGGCCATTCAAATGAAACAATATAAACAATGGAATATTATAAATAATATAACAAATTGCAACATATAAAAGTTGCATTTTATTTTATCTTCACCATGTTTTCTATCATCCATCAGAATTAGATTTTGTCTTCGGTGTTAGAAAATAAATTAAAATGCATGTACACACAAAGAGAGTGAAAATGAACCATGCTGAAAACTGGGATTCCAAAATAAAATTCTGATCTTTGGTCTTTTAAGCATATTTTAGAAAGTGGGCTGAACTGAAAACTTTTCATTGCCCTCTTTTTATAAGATGATGTTGGAAACATTTGTATTGCTCAATAATAGTTCACATGGATGAATTCCCAATTTTTTTCTACATTTGTTTTGTTATTTGGTTAGTGATTGATCACCATGTATTCTCATCTTCAAACAACACTAACTACTTAGCCTAAAGTCTGATGTAGCATTTTAGAATGTTTGTAACAGATTTGTCAAGCATTATGCAGTATTTGATGCAGACATGTTTCTCAAATTTGATGCTTATCATAAAGACTGCATAGCCATTGTAACAAAATATTGTATAATAATTAAACTTGATGAGATAGAACAAAGCCTACTGACAAACTGATACACTAGATTGGGTATCAAAGCACAAGAAGTTTCATTTAATGGTACAATCACAGACTACATACAGTTCAAGAACTTTCTGATACCTCATTGTGTGTGTGTGTTGCCTGTGGTTTGAGGGTGTCAAATGCATACATGACAGAGATACATGCATTGGTGAGCCTAATTATACATACACTTCTGTCCTTGGCAGAAAAACTTATCTATCTTTCCTGTCATTGATTTAATGCATTTGAACATTTTTCTTATTGGCTGAACTTTCCATTTTCTTCATGTCATTTTTCTGTGATTCTGATCCCCACCCAACATTTTTTCCCTAGTTTACTTTCTGCCTTTCCTTAATAAATTAACACAATGTGGCCACATAGCTCTGCTAGAGACAGACATTCAGTAAAATTGTTTGGCAATATTACAAAGTTGTTCTGGAAAAAAAAATGACAGCAAACTGATCAATTACCTTAATCATCGATATGCACGAATACTTTATATATATATGTATATATATATATATATATACACACACACACAAGCAGACTATATTGTATGTAGATATGATTTAAATTTGGATGAGAATTTGAGGAAATGATAAAGATATAAGACAATTTGGAGAACTTATTTATATTTTATAAAAGTTTCAAAATTGTTTTATACATTTACCATATATGTGCATATAATCTTTATTGAATTAAAGCATTCATGTGGAAAACAGTTATTTTGGTAGTATTACACACACTTTTTCTTTTGATATACTAATACTGTAAAATTGAGTCACTGAGTATTTTTTTTTAATCAAAACTATTAATTATTAGTAAAGATTTGTTCTAATATATACAAGAACTAAATAGAACTTACAGGTTTTAGTGTATTTTGAAATACAGAAAAATGAAAACTCTTTTGACCATGAACAGTTTCTTTCTTATTCCAAGAATGGTCAGGAGCACACATATGATGCAAACTCTGTAAAAAAATAAATATGTATATATCAATATGCAATTTTATTTGGCTGAATTCAAAGTAACAACTTAGCAATTAACAAAACAGACTTACAAAGTTTACCAAAAATATAATATCAAATTATTTACCTCACTGTATAATAATTAATGAATAGCATCCAGAGTAAAATCAAACCAGAACTATGAAAGACTGTGGTTTTGGTTTATAAAACATGCTGCAGTAAGAAATGCTATATTGTTGATAAAAATGCAGTCAGAATAAGCAATAGAAATGCTGAAAAACCTATAAACTGCAAAAAGGGACTCAATAACATGACATAATAAAATTTATTCGATAACATTCTTGAAATATATTTTTAATGCTTCGCCAACATGGAAAGAATACACAATAATGTGTAATCTGTTTTTTCAACAAATTACTTGTATATGAATAGCAGACAACCAATGAGTAAAATAGAAAGAGCAATGTGACAAGATATTTTGTGATTAGATTTATATAATCTGCACAAAAAAGAGAACCTACAAGGATTTATCACTGGCAGATGTAAGCTTAAGTACATATGCTCTGTAAATGACCCTGCAGAATTCATTTATCTAGACAATGTAATAAAATATAATAGAAAGTTTAATGTACATAGGAACAGCTAAAGATACTTTTTTTCTGTGTAAATTATTAAAGGGTCAAAAATAGTATTAGAAATGAATAAAAGTGCAGTAGGCTGCTATGTAATATCTACCTTTCTATATCACAGAAAATTCTAGACAATTTTGTCACATACTAAAAAAGGCTGGAGGCAAGTGAAAATATCTAGGACAGAAGGCTTTGAAAATTTAATACTCACATTGAAACAAAAGAAGCAGAGGAAAGTAACAAGTAACCTAGTTTTGAGCAAATAAATGGAGGAACAAGTATTACAAAAAAAAAGTCATAATGAAAAAATTATTACTGAGAGCAACAAAACACAGGAAGCTGTGGAGAATAATCATAATCCATGTTCTGAAGGGACATATTACATAGATGCTAGCATCATAAATGGTTTTATTACAATTCCTATTCTACAGGATCTGTTTTTACATTTCCTGTAGATGATATCATTATAATAACATTATATCCACAAGTAAAAATATAATCAGAACAGGTTTTATATTGCAATATCAGTCACTTTTATCCCACTTGTCTCCTGAACCCTCCACACACACACACACAAAAATTATAACAACCTACTCTTTCTCTCATTTTTATTATAATTATTTTATTGATTTGACACACTAGCAAACAGCACATAATGACTGATTAATCACAAATCTATTTAAGATTTAATATACAGTTTTGTATCTACCATCATATCAATCACTTTTGAAACATTTTCACATGGCTATGAAAATTCCTATTAATATGAAATAATTATATGTGCTAGTCAATGGGAATTATTAATCTACAGGGTCAAGTTTTCAACAAAAGTAGAATAGAATTAACCTAGTTAGTATTTAGAGTAAAACCAACTTTTTTTCTCCCACAACTAAGAAATTTCAAAATGTAGATGTACAACAGTCTGGATAAACAAACCAAAAAAAATTTACTTTTCAAATATTAGTTTTTGAAATTGTTTTACAATTAAGGATAATCATGTTTTTATTAAACTAATATGAATTCATAAATTGGTAAACCACTATTAGTCCTTTCCAAGAGACTGACCAAACATGTTTGTTAGATTAAAACCAAATCAAAGTAGATCTGAGGATAGAGCAATGTGGGTGTTGCCCAGGGCACTCCTTGGATCTAATTTGTTTCTAGTTTTTATCAACAACCTTCCAGATGTCATTGGTTCTTAACTTTGTATCTATGCTGATGACACAACTATTTAATTTTAATGGTAAAGTCAAATTGGCAGCTGATATTGAATCAGCTCAGAACTTTTTTGCCTTACATCAGAATGACTGATGCTAACCTCCAGGAGATTAACTGTTTAATCATTGATAGAATGAGACACCAAATAGCCTATCACAAGTTTGGTTCTTGAGATAACTGAAAGCTCTGTAAGGCATGTTAAATAAGGATAAATTTTCAATTCCTCCTCCTCAGTTTGAAGTTTTATCATCTATTGCTAATAAAGAAGAAAATTTTAAAACATGGGCTAGATATGACAAAAAGAAATACAGGTTGAATATGGCAAAAAAAGGTAGATTCTCTCAGCCACTTCAACCTACAAATGTGAAATGTAACAAGTAATAACAATAAGGATCCATTATGTCTGGGGCACAGAAAATAAAAATAGGTGTATAGAAATTAAATACAAAGAAGGCATGAGAAATAGGGCTGAAATAAAAATTATTTTTTAAGGTTATGCACTGCTTATTTTCTTAAGAAATTGAAAGAACATATAGAAAATGTTAACAAAACTCATCATTCCATAAAAATAGGTTGAAATAGCCTCATCCTAATCAAAAAGAATGCTGTCCTCATAATCAGTACAATGCACATAAAATATTCTTCACTTCTTTTAGATCAAAACAAATTAAAAGAACATTTAAAACTCCTGTCACCATCAGATTAATTTATGTGTTGTGGCCACAAATATTACTCAGAATTTCTCAGTTCAATGAGAATTGTAGCTTTATTCTGCTTGCATCTGGACAATAACAATGGCTTCTAAGAAAATTAAAAGTGGTTTAAATTGTAAGTAAATAATATCAAAACAATATTGAACTACAAAATACAAAGTTGTATTATGGTTGCATAACATTTGTGACATAATTTATGAACCAGGTCCATTTTTGGGAACCACTTGTAATGAAAAATGTATCATCCTAACTATCCATTCTTTAAATAAATCGTAACAGGTTATGAAAATAGGTTAAATATTTCAATGTTCAACACAAAAAGCAGTGGATTAACAATCCCAAAAACCAAGTCCCATAGAAGAAATGTAATGCTCTGAATATAGTGGGATCATCAAGATATTATTCATTTAGACTTCTTAAAATGCAATGAAACACTAAATGCACATTTATATGTCCAGCAGCTACAATATGCCCATAAATGTTTGGTTGAAAATCATCAGCCTGTGCTCATCAATAGGAAAAATCTTTTTCCTCCATGAAATCACAAAGTCACATACAGCAAGAGTAATATAGGAAAAAAAATTTAGAACTCACTTGGTCTGTTTTACCCAACCCATCACATTCACATGACCTTGAACCAATCAATTATTAAATTTTCTAATCATTGTAAAGCACTTTGATGGGAAAAACTTTCTCTAATGAAAACTTTTTTGCATCAAAATCTGTGAAATTTTACTCAAAATCTACTATTCATCCATGCTTAGAATATTGCTGGTACATATAGTCCAGTTCCCCTGCTATTTATCTGGAGCTCCTTGACAAAATCCAAAGAATAATCAGCAATATTATTGCTCTTGATGTGACAGCTTAGTTTCAGTCACTTTCCAACTACTGTAAGGTTGCCTCTCTCTACCTTTTCTATGAATATTTTCATGGTAATTGTTCAGATGAGCTCTTTGCTATGGTATCTAGAATTTTTGAATCTAAGCACAGTACTAGATTCGTATTGAGACCTCATCTATTTACAGTTGAGCTGGCTAGATGTAAGCATAAATTCTATGCTAATAGTTTCTTTTCTCACACTCCATGCTTGTGGAACTCCCTTCTAGTTCCATGATTTCCAGGCAACTTTAATCTGCAAAAATATAAATGCAATGTCAATCACTATTGTCCTCCTGATTACTCTTTCCACTCATTATTAATGTTTCTGTTCCTAATTCTTCCACATCCTGTAATCCCTTGTCTTAGTGGATTTACTGCCTTGCATGGAGTGATACTGAATAAAAAAAGGTATCAAAGTGCTGTTTGTTAAAATATCATTTGAACAGGCTCATAACACCCTACACAAACGAAGTTCTTATTGAAAAAATCAGATTTATGTATAATATCAACATGTCATTTCATATATCAGAATAAATCAATAATCCCTGAACATTGAATTTTGCAGTGAGAATTTTTGACTTGTATGAACATGTGAGTCTGCAACTGCTAGGATTGGGAAATGTTTCTCATTCAATTTTCCCTCTCCATCACTGACAAGTAGTTGGCCAAATTTCCCTACTGAGGACAATAAAAGTAACTAATACAGACCTTATGTGCTGTGCTACTTAACAATACTAAAAAAAAATGTTATGATACAACCAACTCAGAACACTATGGATCAAAGATCGTGGTTGCCAAACACCCCTTCAATTTAATATGTACATGTTATGACAATGTCAAACAGGAGGTTTTTCAAAAGAAACAGAAAAGTAAATTTTTTTCACCAGCTTAACAAAAATAATATTGGGCTCTATTTCTATTATTGCTTTCTTCTTTCAGTTTCTCCCTCTTTGCCTCATACACTCTCTTGTAGCTTGGTCTGGTGCTGAATGCTGTTTTTTCTCTATGTTCCATTTGTTTCATTTACACAGATTACTACTACTACCCAATTTTGGACACATCCAAGTTCCTTAATTAATAAGATGGATAGATGCCATAGAAACATCAGCAACCATTGACAGTAGTCATATTTTATATCAGATGAGCTCTCACTTCATCCAATATTAAACTTGCACAATTTTTTTACCTTTGAACTTTGATTTTGACATAAAATTAAATCAGCTGACTTTGTTTTAAAAAAAATGGCTAAATTTTCAGCTATCACCTAAAAAAAATTATTGGGTAAACAGGAAAAAAAACAGGTCAGATGGACTTGAAAATTGGCTGATTTGACAACTATGATTATATTTGCAGACAACTTGAATAAAAAAAAAAAAATTATATCAGTACAAAACCGAGTGTCCTAGAAAATAAAAAGAAGATATTCTGGGACTTCAATACCTACAATCATTTCATGCAGGTGAGAAGACAAATGATAGCCATAAACAAGAAAAACATTTGCCAGATCATAGACTTGGTTGTCTCAAGAGTGAAGATGAAAAACAAAAAAAGCAAAAGTAA